CTTATTCCTAAAAAGGAAAAGCCTTGCTCTTTTGCTGATTTTTGACCTATCTGCTTATCCAATTTTATTAGTAAAATTTGTACTAAAATATTGTCTAGCAGACTGAACTCTATTTTGCCCAAAATAATCTCAAGAGAGCAAGTAGGTTTTATACAAAGTAGGGACATTTCAGATCAGATTCTTATTGCCCAGGAGATGGTGCACAACATTGATAAGAAGGTTAGAGGTTCTAACATGATTATAAAGCTTGATATGGCCAAAGGTTTTGATAGGGTTTCTTGGGAGTTCCTTCATGATATTTTGCTGAAATTTGGTTTTAGTAATATGTTTGTCAGTCTGGTTATTAATAATCTTAAAGCAACTTATTTTTCTATCTTGGTTAAAGGCTCTCCTCATGGTTTTTTATACCTTCAAAAGGAGTTAAACAAGGGGACCCTCTATCTCCTTTTCTTTTTATCATTGCTTCAGAAGCTTTCTCGAGGGGTATCAATAATCTTTTTCAGACTGGAAAAATCAAACCTTACTGGTTGGGTAATCAAGGTTTTCCAGTTAATCACCTAAGCTTTGCTGATGATTTGCTTATATTTTTAAATGGCGAGTCCAGATCTTTATTGAATTTTAAAAGATTTTTGGAGGAGTATCAAAGAGCATCTCGTCAGATTATTAATTTTGGAAAAAACTCTTTTGTTTGTGGAAAAAACTTACCTGGCAGACAGATTAACATCAAGAACCTCCTGGAAATGCAGCAAACAACTCTTCCAATCAAATATCTTGGGGCCCAGCTACATAAAGGAATCAACAGAATTAGTTTTTGTGGAAAGATTATTAATTAGTTTCAAAGTAAGTTATCTCCTTGGAAGAAAAAATTTTTGTCACAAGGGGGCAGACTGATACTTATCAAACATGTCCTAAATACTTTGACACTTCATATCATGGTAGTTGATTCTCTTCCTAAAAAAGTTGGTCAGGAATTTGAACAGTAAAATGGCCTCTTTTTTCTGAGGGCCAAAAAATGACAAGAAGAAATATCACTGGGCAAATTGGAAAAGCCTTTGTTATCCTACTGAGGAAGGTGGTTTGGGAATTAGATCCCTTTTACATATTGACAAGGCTTTTGCACTCAAAATGTGGTGGAAATGGAGGGCATGAGATTCACTTTGGGCTGATATCATTAGAAGCAAGTATAACAGGGGAGATAACATGGTACCTAAGGTGTATGATTCTACTATATGGAGAAGGATCTGCAGTGTTCATGAAGTTGCATCAGATTTGTGTCATGTTGATAACTCTGGAATTTGGATCTGGAATGAGGAAATCAAAGGTCATTTTTCTTTTAAATCTGCTTATGAGGAAGTTAGAGCTAAACATGATACCACTCTTACTTATAAGCACATTTGACATCCTCAACAAGAACTCAAAGTTAAGCTTCTTCATTGGAAAGCATATGTGAATATTGTTTGGGGTAACAACTCTGGGAGCAGAATACGAGATTCCAGTGGTCTCATTGACCAAATCAAGTGTTACACTAGAGAATGGGCTTGGTCTTTACCAAAAATGAAAAACACTACGATGAATACTATCGTGAAGGAGGAGCAGATTATTTCGCCTAATTTTACAGCTAGAGGCAACTCCATTCAGAATATTAAGTGGAAGAAACCTATTACTCATTTCAAAATGAATGTCGATGCAAGATACTTATTTGAGGAAGCATCTGGAGGTGCTGTGATACGAAACTCCTCAGGTGATTTGATTTGGGCTATAAGCTTCCCGATTGTTGCATCCTCTCCAGTTGAAGCTAAGCTAATGGCGTTGGTTGAAGAAATACGAAGAGCGGTGGACGATGGCTTTGTTGGTTTTCTGGTGGAAACTGATTCTTCTTTAGCTATGGATATGATTCGAGATGGGGAAGCTAGGCGATGGTTTAACGTGATTCAGGAAACCAGGTTGAAAATGAAGAGGAATGACCTGAAGATCGGACACATCAAGCGTGAAGCAAACTGGACAGCGCACTATTTGGCCTTGGATCAAACGGGCTTATTTAAAATAATTCTAAGCCCAACAACACTTCCGACCCGGGCTAGGAGAGCTTATTATATGGATAAATTTAGCATTCCCTCTATTAGATGGTAATTTGATTTTGGTATGTATTTTGTAATCCTTTTTTCGTGAGAGGCTTTGGTCCGGTCCTCCTCTCTTATATTTACTTTCTCTTTTAATAAAATTTCGGTAAATGACTCTCGGCATTTACCCCACTGATTTTGGTGGTTGGCCTTCCGGGATAAAAAAAGAATATTTTAAAAATTGTGGGAATAAGTATATTCCATGTCAACCAGTTTTTGTGTGGAAAATATGTGATTATGTGATTTGTATGTATTTTATGTTTCAGACTCCCCCGGCTGCCTCATAAAATTTGGTGAAGTGTGATTTGCATGTACAAGAATAAAGTAATAAATTTATGATTGGGATTTGTTTACTGGAGAAACAAAATGTAATCACATATTTATTACTTTAAATAAGAATGGAGTATGAAAAGGTTGGAAATGAGATTACTTTTTGAGTATCGAACACATTATACGATTTGATTAGTGATTACCTCTTAAGCGTTGAACTAAATAGAGCTACTTGGACTTGTAATCCATAAAATGGAACACTAGGAGATACTATATAATATAAACAAGATGATCTCCTTAAAGAAAATGTGGCATTGGGGGCAACACAATTATAAGTACTATATAATTGTTTATACAATCTCAGGATTTAGTGGATAAGCAAATAAAACACAAAACATTTAAGCTTTTAAGTACATTTTTTGTCTTTGCCCACAATGATGTGTAGAATGCAGGTTATACTTGAGTAGCTTGATTTGTGGCGGTCCCTCAGTGGTTGAACAAAGCCTTCGCAAAAATATTGTTCATCTTTGATAAAAAAAATTAGAAATACATTAAGAATATTGATCTAATTAAACTTCATCCAAATGCATATTTCACAAACCAGTTTTATGAAGAATAAATATTTCAAACAACGTTGTAATTCATATGGGTTTGAAGTAATAAAACATTACATTTAACTCACATATTTAGCTATGTGTTAGATGGGTTTCATGCTTAGAACATTTAGGAGATTCCTAGTTGGTGAGAAGTCATATTCTAATGTACACAACTAATTAATTATAGGCATCTTTAATAATCGGTCAAAATAATCAGTTTACTATTTTGATTAATAAATCGGTCAATTAAGTTTACTATTTTACATTATGCAATTACCCCAACTAAAAAACAGTGACAAATCTATCTTAGTATAATTATTAGAGCCCGTTTGGTAGCACGAAAATCGGCTGATTTGGCTGATTCTGCTGAAATTTATGAAGTTCTGGCTGAAGTGGCTGCATTGGCTGATTCTGCTGATTTAAGAAAAAAATAATTTTAAAATATATTTTATTAATAAAATAAGTAAAAAATTATATGTAAACATAGTTAAAATGGTCATCTCTTTCCCCCTACTATTAATAATACAACTATTTTTTTCAAGTTGATTCACAAATATTGAATGACTACAAAGTGTTAAAAAATGTCAAAGTGAATATTAATTCTTTTTTCATGAGATATTATACTACTTCTTGCACTATTATATAATCTTAGCATATGTATAAAAAATAAATTCAATGAATATTGAAGTAGTTAGTTGACTTTAGTAGAGTCAAATCCTTTTATTAGAACAACTTCTGTCTTCCTTATCTCTCAAGAAGACTTATTTATAAGCATGTAAAGTAATTTATAGTGAGAAAGGAATCCTCCTATAAGCGGGATTTAGGCATAATTAAGCATCGCCTCGCGATCCAATCCATCTTGAAAGGCCTCCCCAACACACTCTTGATACGAAATCAACCTCCCGCAATAGAGATCCTCAAGTCTGGGTCCCTCCTTCCATTCTCCTCCTCCAAGATGATTAAAATTGTGAGTACTTCCCTCACTTCTTTGAATAATAAATAGGTTTTGTTTAGAATAAGTTTTATTAAATTAACGTGTGTTCCCCCGAATTTTGTACATGCATTTTTCATTTCATGCTGCTTAGCTCTATTGAGTACTATAATATTGGGAACAGATTATTGTCATGGCTGAATCATTTAATAGCAGGATAGAGAGAGTCAACACTGCCGCCTCCCACTAAAAATAATGTACAATTTGTAAGTAGAATTTGAACTAAATGCGAATGTGATCAGATGAAAAAAATGAAATTAAGATGACTTTCGTGTTTTAGATTTGAAAATTCTACACTATTGTCTAAAATAGACATGTGTGACACCACAAATTATAAAATATAGTGGTATTTCATAGATAAATTGAATTTTTCTATCATTACAAACTACGGAGTATGTATTGTGTAAAACACAAATGTGTGTTGTTCTACATCATTATCATTTCTTAGGAGAACAATTACTCTCAATGTAATCAGACCATGTGTTTATGTATTGGATCAAATAAATTGGGTTCTCATTATGAGAAATGAGAACGATTCTCCTGCAATGGATTTGAGATTTGAGATTTGATGATTGGGCAAAAATGCCAACAATGCAATAGAATGTTTTTAAACTGCAGCTACATTTTTGTAACCTGAACATTTCAACCAACGCAAAGAGTGTGGTATTTGAGCATTAGAATGCAGAATGTCGAAGTAAAAGTAAAGGTGTCACAATTATCAAGTTAAGAAATCTTTTTATTTGAACCGCATAATAGTATTTATGTTTATAACCTATAAAATATGTTGAAATTTGAAGTTTCATTGCACCACCACTAATTATGTCAACAAGATGAACTAAGTACGTACCTATCAAGGGTGTATGAGAGACAAATGCCGGAGAAATAGAATGGTAGGAAAGATGAAAGAAAGAACAGGTTTCAAGCAATTTCTCTTTAAATACAAGATCATATGAGAGAAAATAGTTCGATTAAGGTGATAATCTTACTAGTCTAGATGTATAGAAAAATAAGAGAGATATGGTCTGAAAACAGAAAAATTAACCACCTTAATAGAAATAAGAAACAGTGGTAATCACAATTGCAATAAGAAAAAGTGGTAATCACAATTACAATTGTCCATAGAAATATTAAAAGTGGTAATCACATTTGCATATAAAATAGGGAGAAAAGACTTAACCACCTTAGGATATGATGAAAACAGAACATTTTGCAATAGCCACTACACGCACTATTCAATTTTGAAACAATTATTTTAAAATCTCATTGATGGCAATAAATCTCCCCTTTTCAATTGAAAGTTGTGAAGCCACACCCATGGCAACCGATATCAATCCATCATATAAGCTGACGGATGGAGCTCTTGCTCCTTTTTCTCTTATTGCAGACAAGAAGTGAAGGTGTTCCAAGTAGCTAGACCCATGGTGCAATCCATTATACCTTATTGTGTAATAATTAACAAAGAACACAAATATTAATCTGACTAATTTTACATGGATTATCAATATAGATGGTCATTTTGATATTGATGCAACGATTTCGATTCTAATGATATCAATATAGGCGATTCCTCCTCCAAATAAACAAATAAATGGATGACTAATTAAACTCACTTTATTCGATCATCTTTGGTGTTTATGGTTTGAACCCCTGCTCGACCCTCCTCTCGTATACCCCAGCGGACTATGCTTTCTGGGATAAATGCTTCACCCTGCAAAATGACCCGAACTAAGTGGTCAACTTTATGCTACGTATATAGATATGATTTTAATGCTAATTACCACATTAATTAAAAAACTTTTAATTTAACAAACTATTTAGAGTATTCCTAATGCAAAAAATGTGATCAGTTTACATGCAGTATTAGAGAAATAAAAAACATAAAAATTAATAAACATAACATTTCTCTGCGGTTTTCTTTGTTTTGATAGGTTTTCTCCACAATATCAAGCATAACATCTGGGTACAAACATTGTCATTGACATTTTTTATAAAATTAAAGAAACTACTTAATACAGAAAGTTGCAGAACAAAAGAGAGAGAAATTTATCTCTCATGCCATGAATGCAATAAATTCATTGGAGATACTCTTATAAATTCTTCCAATTCATCGTTATATTCTCGAATCACAAACTATTTCCTTTTTAGTTCATAATTTAAATGCACAATTAAAAATGATTATAATCAAATGTATAAGAATATAGTAACTTCACCAAATTATTAGCAAATAATTTTTTTTATGCAAATAAAAAAATAAAGTTGCACATAAATAAGCTGCCCTTTAATTGATTAATTGCTAACTAAATTACCTTGCCAATGTCACCCGTAACAGATATCTCTTGTTCATTTTTGCTTCCCTCAGCAAACATACACAGGTCCAGCATGCCCCGAGATCCATTTTCAAACTCTACAATAACATAGGCATTGTCTATTATATCAGGCACCTGAAACAACAAAAATGAAGTAATTAAGAAGGCATTGAACTCCACTCTTGGTACATAATGACTTGGTGCACACTGTTAACTTTATTCACTTTTGTACACACTTCAAAATCCTTCATACATATAGTTTTCCTTTAAATAATTGGCGAAATTCATAAAAACCCCTTACTCTCGATTGTACAATAATAATCCCTACTGAGAACGTTCATAAAAATAATCTGAGCTAGCAATAATTTCCACAAGAATAAATTGAACATAATTCAAATTAATATCCATTTAATACTCCTAACTCATACTCTCACTTTTCCCTTCATCAGTCTTCTTCTCAGGTGAATTCAAATTAAAACTCATTTAGTCTCAACGTCCTCTCCGTCATTGTGGTTCTCTCTATGTTGGAAGGTAAAAGTGTTAACCGAGACAAAGAGTGAAGAAGAATAAAGTGATGGTAGGGGTTGATAGTATTAAACGGCCATTAGTTTGAAATTCACCAAATTTATTCTTGTGAACACAGCTACTAGTTCGGATTATTCTTATGAGCACTCTTAATGTACGGATTATTCCTATGAATTTCATCCTAAATAATTTGACAATTGTTACCTTGCCATCCTCGTAGATCTCATCCTTGTGATTCACATCAATAGCTCCAGAAGACATAACACGAACTGGGTTTGCACCAGCAAATAGTCTCATAAGATCAAAGAAGTGGCAGCATTTCTCAACTAGAGTGCCACCTGTGTTACAATTAAACCGGTTCCAATTGTTTACCTGTTATTATTATTATTATGATTATGATATTATGATGATGATTATTGTTGTTGTTATTATTATAACCATTAACTTATTCATATCTTCAAACACTTTGTGACATTCTCAAGGAATCGGGTTTTTTGAGACACTACTTTGTGAAATTTGCATATTAGGATAATACAAATTTGAGCTAGAAGTTGGGTGTGCTCCTCAACTTTATCGGAATGCTTAATGTTATGGGTGTGACTCTACATATGGAATTCTGACCATTACGTGAGATTTTTGACTGAACACTTAGAGGTCATTTGATAATACTGTTTTCTTTTCTGGTTTATCAAACTAATCAACCAATTTTTTCATCAAACATGTAACTTTTGTTTTCACGCGCTGGATTGTGTAATAATAAGATAAAATTGGGTTAGAGTTACTTTTCTGGCTATATTAGCTGAAGTTGTTGTATATGACCATGTTAGCTATTTTTACATATACTTTTTTCTTTAGTTTCTTAATAAAATATGTTTTAAATCTCAGCAGAATCAGTCGATTTTTGTATTACCAAAGAGGCTCTTATATAGTATTGTTGTTTGAAACATTTGTCTATACTTATGATATTGATTTGTTTCATTTCATAATACAATAAGAGCTCGTTTGGTGGTCATGTTTTTCGGCTTGTCAATCTTATCAACCAAACTTTTACACCAAACACATAACTTTTGATTTGTGTGTTGAATCGTATAATAATCAAAACAAGTAAGGTTGAAGTTACTTTTCTGGCTGCATTGATTGAAATTATTGTAGAGGATCATTTAAGGTATTTTTTCACTGTATAATTTTTTCTTTACTTTATTTTTTCTTTACTTTATTAATAAGAAATAGTTAAAATATAATTTTTCTATAACTCAACAGAATCAGCCAATCCAACCACTTCAGCCAGAATTTCATAAATTTAAGCAGAATCAACCAATTTAGCCAATTTTAGTGTTACCAAACAGACTCTAGTTAAGATACCGTTTATATGAGTCTCATCCATATACATATGTCTTGATAGAAACCTCTGTGCGGACAACACCATCAGAGGGCCTTCTCGGTAGAATTTTTTTATGAAACTTTTTTAGAATGTTTTTCATCAAATCTAATTTATGTTCACCAAATTTCAGCTTAAAACTTTATCAGGAAAGTTGTTAAATAAATTATTGAAAAACATTGTGCTTTTATATGTATACTTTGGCGCAGTGTTTTTGAATAATTTATTTAACTGTCTGTCCTATAGAGTTTCAAGAACCTGATTTGACGAAGAACATGATCAAAAACTTTCATCAATAAATTTTCGTAGAAAAGCTTAGGCACTGTCTACACGGAGGTTCCTATTTAGGACATATATCAACGGGACTCCCGTTTATATATCTACCTTGAGAAAAGCTTTCCATATACCACATACAATATTGTAAGGCATATGATTACCTTAACTAGGAAAGGAAAACGATGCTCTCGGATTGACACCATTTTGACCTGCCCTAAAGATCCACCTTTGACGATCTCTGCCAACTTCGCCACAGGCGGCATGTACCTATACTCCAGCCCCACTTGGACCAGCATGTCCGGTTTCAACCGGCCGGCCACCTCCATCACCTCTTTACAGTGCTCAACCGAAGTGCAGAGAGGCTTCTCAACTAAAACATGGTAAGGTTTGGGATGATTCAAAATGTCCATTAGAATCTCATGGTGAGTCATGTTTGGTGTCGAGACTATCAGTACGTCGCAGAGCCCACTGTCCAACAGAGCCTTATGCCCTGAAAATATCTTTGGCCCCATATCATTGCCAAAACAATGACCATCCAAACTATTAGTAATTTAATCATGATTATGTATATTGGAAACTAAAACTTCATCAGTTTGGAATTGATTTTGCTTCTACTTCTTTTCTAAAAGTATAATCAGAAACAGTTTTTTGTTATTTCTCAACTTTTAAAAAACTGTTTCTGAAAACAATTTGGAGCAACCAGAAGTACTTCTGCACTAATAACCAAACACTCTGATATCTGTTCTTCTTCTCGAAGGAGCAGAAACAATTTTAAGAAGTAGATCCATACACTCCTTAATCATGGGTTGTTTGGGTCTACTTAAAATTGCTTTTGCTCTCTAAAGGAGAAGACGCAGATGTTGAGATATTTGGATGAAAGTGCATAAGTACTCTCGGGTGCTCTGATCCAAATTGTTCATAGAACATTTTTTTAGAGATCGAGGAGACCTTCTGAAAAAGTGATTGCGATTCTGCTTTGAAAAAGAAGCAGAAGAAAGATCAATTCCAAACACGCTTAGTTGTCTATTCAAAAATGTGTTTTTCTTTACTTTTTTTGCTGATTTATTCATGTCATTAAACTAATTTAAATTTCAATGAGATGACTATAACAACCTCTAGTCTAGGAATGGGGATTTCAGTTCAATATTTACCAGTTTTACGTTTGATTTAAATAAAGAATGATTGAGAAATAAAAGTCGCACTTTGTCTCATTTTGATTCAATTCAGTCTAGATATGTTATTTAACGTCTTGAAAATATATCGAGGTTTACTGAACTTTTTAATTTTCAGTTTAGGTTATTTCCCAAATAGTTAGTTTAAAGACAGTTGATATACCTTGAGAGCAGCTCACGGTGAGCATGCTGCTCCTAGAGAAAAAGAAGGCGTGTTACTGTTCACGCGAGTGAACAATAACTTCAATTTTGTTTTCTTTAATGTCCCACTAGTAGTATGATGTAACTTACGTGTAAAGAAATGTAACTCACTCTATAGAAAATGTAATTGCAAGTAAGTCGAAATGTAACTTGTCCAATACGGATCATAAGATATAAAACATTCACTTTAATGAAAACAAGAAGTCTAATTGCTTAGTTACTTTATGTAGATAGTGAATATGTTTTGTTTTTAATATAGAGGCCATAAAAATGTTTTTTTTTTTGCCAAAAAATCAATTTTTTCGCCAAAAAATTCAATTTATTTTTGCAAAAAAAGTGAATTTTGTTTCGTTTCGATAGCATAGATTAACTGAAATAGTGAATATATAATTTTTTAACATTAAGGTCGTAAAAATGTTTTTTGTAAAATCACTTTATTTGCCAAAAAAATCATGTTTTGCCAAAAAGATATTTTTTTTTGCAAAACAATGATTCTTTTGTTTCAATAGTGGGGTTTATGGTGTGATGTAATTCGTGTTATAGAAAGTGTAACTCGCGTTGATGGAATATCTAACTTAGATGTGTGCAAAGTGTAACGTGTTGAGGCATACCTAAATGTAACTATGCATAAAAAGATGTAACATACCTATAATAAAGATGTAACTCGCACATAAAAAGATGTAACTGCATTTACTATCATATGTAAACAATGAAAACAAAGAGTCTAATTGATCAATTACGTACTTTACGTAAATAGTGAATATGCTTTGTTTTTAATATTTAAGGCCATAAAAAATTAATGTTCAAAAAAGTTATGTTTCTTTTCCAAAAAAAATTGCCAAAAAAATCATTTTTTATGCAAAGAAATGATTTTTTGTTTCAAGAGTATGAGTTTATTTTGTAATGTAACTCGTACTATGGAAAATGTAACTCACATTGATGGAAACTCTAACTTTGGTGTATGCAAAATGTAACCTATTGATGCAAGTCTAAATGTAACTCGAGCGTAGAAAGATGTAATTCACTCATAAAACATTGTAACTCACCCATTATAAGATGTGTAACTTCATATATTATCAAATGTAACTTCAGAAATAGTCTATAAACACAAGTCACACATGTGGAAATATAAATCACACAAGTGTATGAAATATAAAATTATTTATTTTAAAGAAAAAATAATTTAATTTATTATTGTAATTTCAGTTGAAGCAAAAAAAGGTGTATGGATAAGAACTAAGAGAGAAAGAAAATATAATTAATTTATTTTGAAAGAATGAAAATTTGATCACAGAATTGTAATATATATATCGGTGTTCCTAAATTAAAAATATTATCTGGAAACATTATAACTTTTGATAATGAAAAAATTAAAAGTAAACAAAGAAATTTAAATAAAAAAAGAAACGGTGGTGAAAGAGTGAAACGTGTGACTAAGAAGATTAAAAGTAAACAACGAAAAAAAGAAGAAATTAAACCAGGCTGGGAGTGAAGTGCGTTGCATGTTGGGTTTATATTATGGAAAAACGGTACCGTATATGGGATCGGCACACCATGCGCATGGTGGGCCGATCCCATGATATAATTTGCGGTTTAAAGATGTTCTCAAAGTAGCTTTAGTTCAATTAGGTGAAGTATTAAGAATGTTTTTACTTGGACTGTAATTCTCCCAGACCAGACCAGACCAGTTCAGACCAGACCAGTTCAGACCAGACCAGACCAGATCAGCAAATTACGGTTCAAGTAAAAACATTCTAACTCTAGTACGAATTGCTTATTGTTCGCTTTTGAATTACTCTAACTAGTTCGGTTTAATTAGTTTGGCCAGATCGAAATGGCAACCCCATGTAGTGCTTAATAGTTCAGTCTATTACTAATATATAGAAAGGAATTAAGCATTCGATCCAATTTAGCTGGTTGTGGACTTATCCTTCTAGAGGAGATGTCTCGTGTTCTTTTCTCGCTCTGCGGAGTATAACTAAGCCTCCCAAAACAACTCCTCAAGTGGTAGAGCCAAGCAGCTTATGCTAACCCGTGGGGTCAAGCTAAAGTTGGATTTTCTGGGTATAGGGCCGCGAAGCGGTGTAGCTGGTCAGTATAAAAAGTTTATTGTACCCTTATCTTAGTTTTTACCCACACGGGTAGCTCAGTTGGTTGAATGATAGGAAAATTAGAGGAATGACTAAGGTTCCAAACCCGCAACGACCGTGTGGAGGTTACAACTCTTACGTGCTGAGTCGAACTTCTGATGCACACGGGTATAAGGCATACTACCATTGAACTGACTGAGTAATCATGGTTTACATCCTCTTTAAAAAAACATGATACTCCTATTTTGGAATTTCAAAACTTTTTTACTCCTATTTAAGGAATTCTCTCTAAACTTTATCTTTGCACGTACCTCTAATTTAAAGGTAAATGTTGGGTTGAGTTGTATGTGACTTGTCATGGAACTTTGTGACAAAGGTGGCTAAACAGTGACTTGGTCGGTGCTCAGCTAGTGAAGGGAGTTACTTGGTATGAGGGGGGCTTTGTTTGGAATCACTCGGAAGGATTAGACATTGTGAACGATGAATCAAATTGATTCATGTCCACGCTCAAATTAATTTTAGAAAATAAAATTTACACATTCAGAATCTACATTAAAATCGCTACAAAACCTGAAAAAAATAATTCAAATTTCATAAATTTTTTATATATAAAATAAAAGATTAAGAGTGGTTTATGTTGACCAAATGAATAGTAAATGTATCTTACAATTTGGAACTGAGAGAGTATTTCGGAGATCATTCACGGGAAAAGTTCTGCATCTTTTAGTTTGATTGCGGGTGACTTTAGAGAAGCTATAGTTTTTTCACCACTTTTAACTATAAATGGGCTGATTTTTTTTAGTTCCCACCCTATTTGTAAAAGATATTTCAGACTTGTTGTAGATATATGGATACCTGAATAGGCCATTGAAAAGAAAGTGAAAGCCGGTAGGCTTGTTGTTGGGAAGGAATGTGTGGGTCCGCGATGCATACAACTTCCACGCCTTCGTCCCTGAGATGGTAAAGGTTGAGGAGATGCTCCCTTCCCATCATCCCCACTCCGATGATTCCGTACTTAATTACCGCTTTCTCTTCCACCGCCATGATTGACCACTTTATCAAATGGGTCGATATCTTTCAGTCTAAGCGCGATAAAAAGAGACTCCGTGGGAGTTTATATATACTGATTGCTCGTACTCCGTAATTCTTTTAATGGTACGTTAAGTTTTGAATGAGTTACTCCCTCCGTAACAATGAGATAGGAGGGAGTGACACGCAAATCAATAAAAAATGGTTTATTGATTGATATTGAATTGATAAAGTAAGAATAAAGTAAGAATGATTTAGAAGCCACACAAACTTTACCAAATTTGGTATGAGACAATCTTAGTGGGACGGATCGATAAGGTAAAATGGGACAATCATAGCGGGACGGAGGTAGTAATATTTATACTCCCGAGGGGCAGATCTACTCAGCCAAGAGAGGGGGCAGCTGCCCCCAATAAACCCTTGTAATTTTTTAATAAATATTAGAAGCCCAAAATTTTGCCCCCAATAGAAAAAACGAAATGCCCCCTATTAGGCTATAACCCAATTCCTCCAGCAGTTTAGTGATGTAAATCTGAAATTCGGACAGCAGCTGACCAGCTGAGCAGCGATACCGCAAGATTCCAACTCTCACTTTTCAGTTTATTGGCTTTAATTAATGGCTTTAAACCTCTTCACTTTACTTTTACAAGTTTTATCAATTAATAACAAATCAATTAGATGTTACGTTAGATTTGAGGATTACAGACTTGCCGTATTTGTTACCTTTGAAGTTTTTTTTGCAAGAAGAAGAATTAGTTCAATTATTTAACAAATCATTGTAAAAATACAAATGGATAAAAGACGGTGGAATATTTTGCCAGATATCGCGATCATACATAGAAACGGATGCTTTAGTCATATGGTGAGCTACCCGACACGTTGATCGCTTTACATGAGAGAACGTTGTGCTAGAAAAACTAGACGAAAGATCTCTAATATCTTCAACAATGTTACCTTTGAAGTTTAGTTATTAAATCCTTTGTATGTATTTATTGTATTGTTTAATTTATTTGTATAGTTTCGTATGACCATACATTAATTTTTAATCTTTATGTAAATATAAATTTAAACAATGTTATTAAACTATTATAATGTTATTAATTTATTATAAGATTATTATTTACATCCATTAATTTTACGTAGTATTTTTTAGAAAAATCAATTAGATTATATTTAATTGTTTTAGAAGGATCATTTAGATTTAACTTAATTGATGAGTTACTGAAATATTTATACATCTATTATTAGTGTAATTTTTTACACTATTAGAAAATAAGAAATGTCATTTAGTAAGTTAGAAACCCTTGTAAATATTATGTTACTTTATGTAGTTATTAATTAAAATGTACTAATGTATTACATAGGTTAATTTTAATTGCATATCTTTTCATTGAAAGAGATGTGTTTAAAACTATTACAAATGAAACCATAATGGATCTCTGTCAAAAGATGAAAACTCAACGTGAAAAATTGTGATGTATTTTGTTAAAACTTTTGTTACTGTAATATTACATTAATACTTTATTGGAAAAATTGAAAATAATAATCCTAACTACCGATCCGCTAACAATAATCCCAACTATTGATTATTTTTGTATAATCCCAACTATATAGACCGCCCACCAATAATGGTCTATGACTAGATATTACGTCATATAACAAGTGAATTTTAAATAGAAATTAAGCGTAAAAATTAAAATTTGGGATTATTTATAAGGATTACTTGCTATATCTCTTCTCATCCACTTTAGAATTTATTTATAGCCGGTCACATCGGATCATTATTGGCGGAAGGTACCTAAAGTTGGGATAATTATTCTGAAATAATCAATAGTTGGGATTATTATGAGCGGACCGTCGATAGTTGAGATTATTACTATCAATTTTTCCTACTTTATTCACTTTTTTATGATGCATTTTTATCTACGCCTGCCCCCAACAAATTTTTATCCTGGATCCGCCACTGATACTCCCTCCGTCCCATTTAAGCGTTCTAATCCATTATTCTCCGATCAACGTGCATTGTTTTTAATCTCTTATTTTATATATCAAATTTTTATCAGATTTAAATTTTCTTGATCAGGCTTTGTAGCAGTTTTAATGTAGTTTATAAATATGTAAATTTTATTTAGTAAAAGTAATTCTACTAACAATAGGGATCAGTTAACTTTATGGTCAGTCAAACATCGTAAACCGCCTGAGAACGTTTAAATGGGACGGAGGGAGTATTTGTTGGGAAAATGTGTTAAAAATTGCATTAAATGGTCATTTTGGGGCAATTATTTGAGTGGGATCCACTTCCGATTTGGGTCGGGTTAAAGTGGTTTCGGATTGTCCTTGTTAAGGTTACAATTCGATATGTGGTACACTCAAAACGGATAACGGGTGAATGAGAAATTGATTCTCGAAGTTCACTCGTTGAAATGGAAAAACTGGGAAAATGATGAGTTTCTAGTGTGTTTTATCCCACATCGAAAAACTCAAGGGATTTTCACCCCCTTATAAAGGGAAGCCTCTTTTAAGGAGTTAAGATTCCTAAGGGTAAAGGCTCTCTCTTATGCGCAGGGGGGGGGGGGTGCCGATCAAATCCCGAAACGGAGAAGAAAAACTGCGACTCGTGTGCGCGGGCGACCTGCGGACACGAATGTCGTCCGAAAACCTATCATTCAAAGATATGGTCTATTTTTGTTTCTTCCCGTAACGTTTGACAGAAGGGGTGGAGTTCTGTCCGGAACAGAGACCCTCGAGGTCTTCTGGTCCGTTACAACAATTAATGCCCAACGTTCTTCTCTTTTAATGCTGCGTTAAATTGACAGTTTATGAACGATTCAATGCCCAACGGACTGGTCATTGATGTCCAACGTTCAGGTCCATTAACACCCCATTTAACACACAACAAATTCTCCTATAAATAGCTGGCAGGTGCTTTGCAACAAACACACGGTTTGACAACACACAATACATTCCTCACGTTTTCTTGAGCCAAAAACACTTCCAGCTACTCCCAATTTTCCTAAGTGTTCTTGCTGTGTTTCAGTTCGCCGGAACTTTCGTTTGTGTGCTCACACGATCGTTCGTTAGCCACCGTATCCTGGTAAACGGTCGTTGCAACGCTCCTAACACCGTGGGAGGCGACGAAGATGTTTTAAGGACATCGTGCGTAGCACGAGCTCTGGCTAAAATATGTTCCATTTTATTTTCTGTTTTCTTTTAGCTATTTTGTTTATTAATTAATTTTATTTAATTAATATTTCTTCGTTTTTTCCGAAACACACCCAACAGTATTTGGGATGTTTCCACGGATGTTTTTAATCTCGGACTAGTTCAGCCCAGATCAGATCATATCGAACTAAACCATATCAGGCCATATTTAGACAATTATAAAATACTCCGTATACAAAGACTAGACATGTATCAAACTAGTTCAAAGCAGACCAGACTAGACCAGACCAGATTAGACTAGAAAATTTCAGTCCAACTAAGAACATTTTTTTGAGAGTCAAATTTATAACTCACACAACTAATTCATTTCCTGAAAAAGGTTGAAATCCCCAACTAAAACCCCAAACTTTTGTTCGACCGAGTATAAGAGAGGTCATATACGGAGTATGATTTTGTTAAACCATTGGTAATAAACTTTATATTTGTTTGTACGTACTAGATCAAAGGTTCAACGCAACATGTAAATTAGAATTATCCAAATATTTTTTTTGGAAAAAAATACACAAAATTTTTATACTAAAAGCATTAACACTTTTAAAATTTGAGATGGACTGGAACCTAATTTGGCCCCTAGCTACATCCCTAGCTAGGAACTATAACTTCGAGTTTCGATCATTATTTATTTTTCCAAGAATATATTTTATTTAAAAAATATTGGATTACTAAATTACAGGAAAAAGTATGTGAAGAAATAATTGAAATGTTTCTCTTCACTAACTTCAGTTAATTCAGTCAGAATATTAACTTCATCTATACTTATTTTATATCGCCCCAAACTAAAAATTACTACCTTCTTCTCATTTTATGTGTCTCGCTTTGACTTGCCACAATTATTAATAAAGTGGTTGAAAAAATAAATATTGTGGTTGAGATTTGAGTATAATAAAGTGAAATGTTAATTACCACGATTTTTTTTCAAAAGAGAAAATGAGACGCTTATTTTGGGATAACCCAAAATCAAAAGTACAACAGATAAAATGGGACGGAAGGAGTACATGTATGATACAAATGTGCTCATAGTAGTTAATTAGGTGCCTTAATCAAGAGCATAACTACTTTCTTCATAAAAAAATAAGATTAAATAAATATAAATCGAAATAAAAATAATTAGTCTTATTCCAAAAAATAAATATTATTTAGTCCATACTTTGCACTCATTTAAATTGAAAGTAATTTCGTCTATCTCAATTCATTCACACAAATTAAATATTAATTAGATTAAACAATTGTACTCGTTAATTTCTTTTGACCAACTTGGGATGGATTATTGGACTATGTTTGGAACTTTGGATTGGCCCCCTTATCCATCTACCTGTGTATGTATACCTTCATGGTTGATTGGTTGTCGTCCATGACAAAGGACCATTTGAATTCCTAAGCTATTTTTGCACATTATTTTAATTTGATGTTGCAATAATGCTTGTTGACGAATGTTCTGTTAGGTACATTGCACTTGGACATTTTCGCAACTTTAATACTTCCAATAAACTGGTCTGTATTGTAAACTTTAACGAGTGGAGCCGGAAGAATGGGATTATTCATACGGCATATCAAACCTATGGATATCCTCCGTACAAAATGTGTTGATTTTTATGATACCTCTTCAAATTTAGAGTGTACTATACATTAGCCAATAGCATTTTAAGTCATTTCATTAATGAATGATTTAAATTTCTATGTGTCACTGTTTCATTTGCCCACACAATGAGATGCATCATACCTTCCAAATTTCAAAAGGCACCATAGCATGACCCTTAATACGAAGTATTATTTTTGTTTTCACACAATAGTAGAACTTTTAAATCATTATTTCCATGCATGGTGCATCCAATATAA